GCATCAGAGGCGGACGGCTGATGGCCAAAATAACCCGACTTTAGCCTTGGTGAAGGACTTGTTTGGGAGTAAGATCGCATGCGAGCTGGTGGTGGTCTTGCCATTCTTGGCGATTTCTGCGATTTTGACCGTGGCAGGGTTCGCGGTGCCCTTTCTAACGAGGGGCGTGTAGGTGCGAATTGTGCTATCGGTTGCGGTGAAGGCATGGCCTGTATTGGTATGATCCCTGACTGAGGTGATGATGGTGTGGGTGGTATCTCTGCCACATAGTGTAGGTCCGACGGGTTCGTGGGAGTAGGTTGAGTAGGTCCGGGTGGACTTGGCTGAAAAGAGGTTCCTGCACCACCTTCGTCTTTATCCTCGTACATAAACTGTTGTTGCCCAGTCGGTTGGCCTCCCGACCCTTGAGGGCTTGGTAACTCTTTCACAATGTAGGAGACAATGGCTCGGTCAAGGGCAGCATTCACCTCGTTTTCTTCCTCCTGCTCGCGTTGCTTAGCTTTGCGACGTCGCATAAAGAGAAAAAAGACAAGCAAGGATATAAGTGAGGAGCCGACAACCGAAGCTGCGACAGCAATGCCCACAATAGCTGGAGAGACACTGGATTTGTCTCCATTGTCTACTTGTGTCTGCTGAACTGTTAGCCTCGCCGCAAAAACATAAGAAGGACCGCAAACCCTCACCCGATAGGTATCATTGCTCGTCCTTGGGATTGTCGAGGTAGCCAGTGCTAAGGCCTCACTGATACTGTTAGCCGCCGACTCTTCCACGGCAGAGAGCGCATTGGCAGCAGAAGCCTCAGCTGCCGCCAGCGCATTTGAGGCTGATGCTTCTGCAACCAACAGCGCACTAGAAGCCGAGGCGGCGAGATATTGTGTTGAAGATTCCAACTGGTTTATGGAAATTGCGAGTTCCCGCGACAGAGACACTGCACTGGCTGTCGCCGAAGCGAGTGCTTGTTGGAGAGAGTCTATCGACTCAAAAAGCCCGGTGATGTCGACAAAGTTGCGATCGTGAAGACTCGGGCTCGCGGTGACGGTGACGGTATAGTAAGCAGTTGATGTGATTGATATGATCTGTTGGGAGGGCTTTGTCGGTGTTGGTGCTGTCGTTGTTGTCGTCCTCGGCAAGTAGTTGACCCGAGTGTCAGTATCTTGCCGTCTACGGGCGAAGGTCTGTGGTCGAAGTTGTGGCGAAACAAATATTTCGTCCGAGTTGTGCTCGACGTCGTTTGAAGACGAGGTTCGGGTGGCGGCGCCATTGCAAAGGAATGCTATTGAGCAGATGAACAACCCAAACAACATATCTGGCGGCCATCTTCTCTGCCGTGCCATGTTGAGACCCGGATGCTGGAGGACCGGGACGCCATTGATGGCATCTCGTTCGCAGAACAACAGCACTTGGGCAGACTAGATCAAGGCGAACACGGATAGAAAGCCCTACATTGAGCTAACGACGTCGAGCGTACTGAACCATGCCAGATGGGAAAAAATACCGGAGAATCGGGTCACTCGACACGGTCATCACACATAAAAACAAGCACTTGCTTGGATCTCTGGTCGGCCGTTGAGGTGTCTTCGCCGTCACACTAAGAGACGGTAGGGGATCATTGGGCATTCCATGTTTACTTTTGCCGCTGGCGGTGGGCCGGAAACGGCTTGGAAACCTCGGAGGCGTTGAGAAAGTGGGCGGTGGTACGTCGGTCCCTGTCATGAACTTCGGACGACGGAAACCACCACTCTCGACCAATATGTGGCCTTCCCACCACAACGGCTCTCGGGGCTGATGACCGGTACTGTCAAGCACGCTGGCCACATGGAATGCAGCATCGTAGAATATGAGATAAAATAACCTGTCAAACTGTCAGTACCCATGCCTTGGGCTCGTCATTTTGCTGTGTATAATTTCACAAACCACACCCGAGTCAGTCCTGTTCCCACGCCGCCTCACTTGAAACTGATCGCGTCAAGTCGCCTCCACGGTCGAAACTCGGAACGATCTCTTTCCCGCCAAGAGAGGAAACGTAAGAAGAATCTCAACATCCTGTCCTGCAGATCCAGGATCCCATCACTCACCCGACAGAAAGAAATCTTCGTGTGGAAAAAGCGTCTAAGTTGCAGTATTTTGAGTTGTGATGGTTGATGTGCAGTTTGATGTGTGTAGTTCAGCCATGCCACCCGGTTGACACCCCGCCAGCTGCCAGAGCTTGGCAGCCAAATCTCCCTCTTCATGACCCCTGCCAAACCACCCCACCGTCCCCCACATTTCCCGCCTGCGGTCCAGACCGCGCCCACGAGCCCAGTCCAGATCCCGCCATCAAGGTCCCCTCCAAAACCCACCACTGCCGCCCATCCCCAAAAAGCGAAGCTATTCCCAACTTTTCCCATCCTGAACCCCCCCCCTTCCCCTTCCTCAAACACCCCTATATTTCCCCCGCCCAAAATGTCAACCACAACCATCTCCTCCCTCCCCCGCCTCCGCCCATCAACCCTCTCCACCCTCCTCCTCGAGTCCCCCAACCCCTCCTCCATAGCCGTCATCGACGTCCGCGACGACGACTACATAGGCGGCCATATCCGCGGCGCCCTCAACTACCCCTCCCAAACCCTCGACGCCACCCTCCCGACCCTCATCCGCAAGCTCCAAGACAAGGAGGTCGTCGTGTTCCACTGCGCGCTGTCGCAGCAAAGAGGTCCCGGCGCCGCGCTCAAGTACCTGCGGGAGAAGGAGAGGCTCGCCAAGCTGGAGGAACAAAAACAACAACAACAACAACAACAACAACAACAACAACAACAACAACAACAACAACAACAACAACAACAACAAGAGGGAGGGGCCGAGGGAGAGGACAAGAAGCCCGCCGTGGAGCAGAGAGTCTACGTTTTAGACAGGGGGTTTGTTGGGTGGCAGGAGGTCTATGGGGAGGACGAGAGGTTGACGGAGGGATACAGAAAGGAGCTTTGGAAGGATGGGTACTGGATGTGATCAAATCTTTGAGCAAAAGAACTATCTTTGGGGATCTTGCGTCTAGTGGTACGGAATGACCGCAAGGAAACCAACATCATGGCTAGCCGGAGTTCAGGACACAGCTCGCAATGAACTTGGAAGCAGGCGTTTTGTTTGTCGCCTATCTCTACCTGCTCCTGTCTCTCACGACACCTGCCCACGAACTCTCCGCGAATGACAGGCAATGTGATACTCTCTAGGATTACTCATGACAGAAGCCATCTATCTAGCTGTTACACATTATCTTTAGGGTACACCAACCAGCTCCACCATATAGCGTCAGTCCTATCATTCATCCCCATAAACTTCAACAAACTTCCTCTCCGTCCTCTCATACTCAAGCTCGCATCTGCCATCAATAGGACGGACAACAAACACGCGCCCATCCCCATCATGAAATGTCCCTCCCGTTGTGGCCCATTTTCCATACCCGCCACCTTTGCAGTTGAGGATTACCAACCACCCTTTTTCAACTGGTTCATAGCAGGGCTTGGTACGTGTCTCCGTCGAGTCATTGCACCAAAAAAAGGCCGCAGTGTCTCCTTTGCATCCCACACTCATGCACTGTTTAGGTCCCAGCGTACACTTTTTTCCGCCTATGAACTCTCCCATAGCATCATCGAACATGCGCCTGGCATCACCAAAGAGAGTTGGACGCCCGATCACAGAGGTGCAATCGATTCCCGAGGGCTGAGAGACCTAATGACAAGGTCAACACTAGTTTCAAGACTCTACGTCAAGACATACCTCAGTCAGGGCACTGCTCATGAGGCCAGAGGTCCCCGGTGCAGGATCAAGAGCCGGTACAAGTTGTCGTCTCGTGTGCTTGACCAGGGCAGCATGTCTGTAAGGGTCCTCCAAGTCTTCGGGCCAAACTCCTTTGTATGGACCCCGCGTCTCCAGCGTGTCGTTGTAACGCATATTGCATCCCTGCCCTAGTGGATCGGTGACGATGACGCGAGAGTCTTCGTCAAACTGTGTCTGCCCGGAAGAACGTATGCCAATAATGCATTGGGTAAACACCTCACCAGCGAATTCGGCCAGCTCTCTCCACAATGCTGTCTTGGTCGAGTTCGAGTCGTTGCACCAGTACGCCCCGCCGGTTGTTCGTTCGCACATGATGGGAATACATTGTTTTGGGCGTACGATAGACAACCTCGTCATGGTTGTTGAGTGGTTGAATTTGGGTTGCCAAATAGTCCAAAGCCAGTTGTAGTTCACGGGCATGCCTCCAACCAGGACACAGTCTGCTTTCTGAAACCGAGTATTAGCACATGCACTCATTTCGAACATGCTGGGATGAGTAGGGGACATGCAGGCTTTTTGCTGGCGAACGAACTAGGCATAGTCGGGTTGGGACTGGTTGGTTGAACGCCATCTTGTTCCTCGGTCGGTGCCTCCTAGGCAAGGTGGGGATGGAAGTCCTCGTGTTCACTGGAGACAGTGAGTGACTCCGGGGTCTCTTCTGGTATGATGCTAGGCTCTTTCACTAAAGGCTGGGGTTCTGGGGGTGGGGGTGGCAGGGCCTAGCATCACAAAGTCAGCTTGTGGCAAGTTGGGACATAGGACTGGTGATGGACACATACCACCGCAAGGGCTCCTGCGCTGAGCACTAAGGAAGTGGCTGCAAGGCAAGATGAGAGTTTCATGGCAGTGTTGTTGTTTTGAAAAGACGAGGATGATGATAAGGATACTTGCGTAACAAGAAGCCGGATAAGGGGGTTGGATGACAAGATGGTTCTGCTGGTTGTCGGGAGAGAAGGTCAAACAAGCTCTCACCGCAGCTGTTGGCACACCGCATGACATGGAACAGAAATGCCCGGACAGCAGTAGCGAATTCAATAGGCAGGAAGGAACATCAGATGTTAAGCGGGTGACGACGTATGCCAGTGGCATACACGAGGAAGGAGGGACACATCTGTAGCAACAAGTGGCAGCCACCTGTCACACAAGTCGGAAGGAGCAACAACGTCGTCAAAAAACCAAAAAGAGACTGGACATACCAGGATTCGAACCTGGGACCTTCTCAGGGAGCAAATCTTGTATCATTGGAACCCTTGCATCTGTTGTATCATTCAACAAGAGCAAAGCAACAACACTTTTTGCAACTGAGACGTCTTGACCACTAGACCATACGCCCTGTTTATTACTGTTACTATTATCCCCGGTTCTGCATCTTATAACCTTGAGTCCCGTGTTCCCTTTCCGCACCATCGTCACCCTAGCAACCTCGCGCGCGTTCAAACCCCCAACACACCACCATCACCATCGCGCCTCTCCTGTCGCCGCACCTCTTCCCTAAACACGTTCCTTCCTTGCTGCTGACCCTGCCCGGCCATCATGTTTACCGCGTTCATCCTCAACCCTTGGATATCCGTCGTGACAACTTTGATGTCCTTCCCTCTCAACCCACCACCCATCCGTTGCCGCTGACTTCGTCCCTGTCCATAGCCCGACGCGGCCCTCAAACCACCAAACCCACCCCGTCCGCTTCTGCCCATCCACCCTGCCACCATCTCACCTACCTTGAACGACGGATGCCGTCGTTTATAGACCATGCAACACGCCAGCGTGATCGCAGTCAAGAAGCCAAACAATATCGGGAGGGCAATGGTGATGGGACTTGGGCCGGTATTTTCATTTGCAGGAGAGGGTGGCGTGTTGATTGTTCCTCCATTGACTGAGTTTGTACTCGTAGGGCGCGCAGGCCCTCGGACAATCGTGACAACCGGGCCAGGGAACCGGTCGTTGCCCTCGAGATCAGTGCCATTTCCATCCGAGTCGGTGAAGGGCTCTGCGATGGAGAGGACGGCGATCAACGAGGAGACATCGGCGTCGTCGAGATAAGAGTCAAGGATGGACCAGTTGAAGGTGCCGAGGGAGGGATTGAGGACGTTGGAGGTGAAGCCTTCTGTCCCGCCGCCTAAGGTCGAGTTAAGGCGTGCCCGAGGGGTGTCCGAGGGGAAGAAGTCGGCTTGGATGCGGATTTGGCGAGGGCGGGAGGTGGGCGAGGTTGCGAAAAAGATGGGGGACCAGATTACTTTGATGAGGTTAGTGACTGGTTTTGAAAGCAGGGGGTGGAAAAGGACTTGCCTTGGACAGTATCGCCAGTTTGGAGTTGCGCGCCATTGTCCGGGGCGCAGAATGGCGTATCGCTTTCTGGAGGGTTATCACACATGATCGAATGTAGTATGTAGTAATGAAAGGACAGAAGGCTTCCAGAGTCTCCGATGATAATGGCCACAAGCAGAGGTTGTTTGATGAAGCAAAAGGAATGAAGTGAGCAGAGGTCAGTCGTTGAGCCATCGGCATGTTGTTATCCATTTTCTCTGTGCGCCATGTCCTCTATAGTCGCTGCGCAAATATCATCACAGGCAAAATGCAACCACACACTATTGGAAGGTGTATCATATCGTGTGCTCGTATAAGTGGAAGTGGTGTGCATCACGGACCCCCTATCATCCATTGAACTGCAGGTGGATGTTGAAACACAACCCGGAGTCCGAACCCCTGCATCATCGTTAACATCCACAAGATTCAGGAGCAACACCATACCTGTCTGCCTGACTTGTTTTACCATCAAAGAGGCAACCTAAAACGCATTTTGCCGGATTGTCGATCGGTGATTGATGCGCTGTTTGTTCTGATGCGGCTCTCTCTGTTCAGACGAAATGCAACCGACGTTCGAGATTATCAAATCGCCCATGACGAACAGGCTATTGCTAACTCATGGCCATCTCTAGGTCTTGTTCTAATAGGTTCAGTATGCCAACAAAGACATCTTTCTGGCCCTCCTCGCTTCCCATCCCGCCGTCATCGAGCACCTCGCACTTGATACACTTCCTCACGGCGCTGTAGTAGTTTGGACCTCCCAGAGTATTGACAGCTGAAAGTAGCTGCATGACAGCTTCGTAGCTGGTCAGAATGCTGTGAAGATCTGCCTCTCTTGGCCTGATTTTGGATAGCACTTGACCAAATATGACTTCGATCAATAACACTCCAAGTGCAACGAGGGTCGGATGGATATGGTTTGCAGGAACTAATGAAGAGGTCGGGGAGATTGACTGATCAGGCAACCGCTTGACAACAAACACCTCCCTGAACTGTACGATTCCATCCTGGCGGACGAGATAGAGGTCATCATGTGTTGGCGGATTCATGTACCTGTGTAAAGCAACGTCAACGGCGAAATGCCTATCATGGTGCATTGCGCGCATTTCATACCAGTAAGTACCCCTGAGTTGGGTCACGCTCGAGGCAATTGTCCAGGCCAACCATAGCTTGTCTCCGTACAGTAAAGGGGGCACCGCTGGTACTTCGCCCGCAAGGACTGATTTCAGTGATACGAGTGTCCACTCACCGCCCTCATTGGGCCTCCCAAGAGCGTAGACTCGATAGGACCTTGGGGAAAGCTGTGAAAGATCAGAAATGCAGCCACAATAGGCCCCATCAAGCTGCGTACGGGCCTTGCGGATGCTGTGGCAAATATTAGATATTTTTGAAGGGGAAGAATTCAGATTTATCGGCGTCATGTTGAGTGCAGCTGCTGTGGAGTCCACTGAGAGATTTCCAAAAAGATTGGAATCGCTAGCTGGCGTGAGAGGCAAAAATCTCACCGTCCTCTCATCTGGAGATTTATTGCTCGGTAGGATGGAGAGTGACAGCGAATCCCACATTTTGACACTGCCCCAATGAGCCCCCGCAGCCTCAAATCCGGTGGAAGCTGAAGATACTGATAGCGAAAACTTGAATAGGCTGAGGATCTCTTCGTCGGTTTCCCAGCACGGAAGACGAGTGACAGGCCGGTTTATCAGCTTGAATCCAAAGTCGTGGAGCCCCGGGCACCCACAGGTTACAGCCGAGCAGAGAGCCTGGTATATGCTGCTGGATACGTCCCGGAGTAGCCTGTATACATTGCCCTGTGATCGGCGTCGACGGTCAGGTTCCAATTGAATATTCATCTGGAGCAAGCCTTCCAGACTGGACACGCCTTCCTTGAGTTTGGAAAGCGCATCTTGATACTCTGAGCGCCGGAGAACGAACACTATCCTCTTGTATTCTTTTTGTATGGTTGAAAGCTTCATCCACTGAACCTGTTTTATATTTGAGATCAGCCATTCCATCCAGGACTGAGATAATGACTTGTTTGCCAACTGACTTCGCCATCTGGCCCAATGTCCAGCTTCTGTCTAATTTCCGCCATCGCATCGTTCATATCGTTCAGAACCTCCTGGAATAACTTTGAAGATCTCCACAGTCTTTGCTGAATTCTGATGGCTGTGTCTGGCGCACTCCAGAGTGGTCCAAAGGGCTCGTTGATCATGGCTTCAATTTGCCGCTCGGGGACAATATCAGCTAGCAGCTTTTCGTATACGTTTTGAAGTTTGATGTGTTCGGTTTGGAGGCTTCGAGTGAGGCTCTTGGCCTCCTTGGTCGCGAAACGAAGCCTGTTTATGTTGTTTGCACCCTTGACGTACAGCTGAAGTGCCGACACAACTATTGGCACGCTGCCTAGAACAACACCTGCGATTTCGAACCCCGACATTGCGGTATTATCTGATGAAGGTATGTGAAAAGGACAATGCTGGGGGTGTAAGACCCAGACAGAATTCCGCTAGATCTGATCATCAACATAGGGTATATACCTTACCTTAACGCGAAGTAGGTAGGTAGATAGCTGGGCGGCAGGTTTATGCCTGGCCTCCCCGCACGAAGCCCTCGGCACTTGCCTTAGGCACCCCATCAAGCTTACAAGTCTGATTCGTCTCTTTCTACCGCGATACCACGTGATAGTCGGAGCACGGAAAATTAACTGGTGACATTGAAATATGCTGACTACCTAGGTACCTTCCTTACCTCTCTCACCTTACTTTCCAAGCTGGTATCGAGCACCCAACGACCACGGGGTTTCAATACCAACTAGCATACATGGACTCAATTTCTGAACATGTTTTTACCTCTTTGCAGGGCTTTCAAAGCTTGCTAGCATCTATTGAGGGCTCCTCCCAGATCGATGACACTGGGCGCATGGGGGATAGACTGCCAGGGCTCTCTTGTCAGACAGTCCAGAATGAGCTAGCACGACTCAAAGTTTGGGCCGGCAACATCGGAGCTCACCGTTCTGATCGAACTTCACTCGATTACCGCTTGCGCGACGCGTCCAATATTCGCAACCAGGTAGTCATGTTACTAGTGGACTTGAGCGAGTCCCTTAACGATGGTGAGACTCCCAGACGCGACGGTTGCTTTTCCCCGTCATACTAATGCACTCTGCCTACAAAGCCATGTCGATATACAAGGGAGAACGCATACCATGGGACCAAGAAGAACCAAGTGACCAAGACTCTGACGACCATGATGACAATGACGCACTTATGGCTGGGTTGGCCAGACCTGAAGGCTTTACCGAGCTATCACAAATCTCCTCCGACATCACCGAAACGATCAGCTGCCTGTTCAGATTGACGGTGTCGATACAAAACCCTGCCCCTCATGATCGATTTAAGGCGAGGAACTGGGTGGATACGTCACATTTCGAGGAAAGCGACATCTCACATGTCCGGGACAAGTTCCCATCATGCCCCCCGGAAATAAGCCAACGTCTTGGAAAGGCCATATCTCGAAGGCGGCAGTACTTCAAGTATAGAGAACTCCACCATCAAAAGATGACATATGGCTTAGATGGGAATGTTGAAAACGATGAAGGTGCTCCGACCACTATTGCCTCATCTATTCCGAAACAGTTGGGGACGACAACTGTCTTACGGCCGTCGGACTGTGACAACAGTGTTTTGGATGAGGATAGCATGTCTCTTGCAGCATGGACAGACACTACATTCGGCGGCTCATTGATTGATGGCAAACGGCCCAGGATTCCAGCACTCCCTGAAGCTGCCATTGATGGACCATTTGAGTGCCCATTCTGCTACATGATGATATCGGCAAGCACCAGTCGTGCATGGGCAAAACATGTCCTCGCAGACTTGCGGCCATACATTTGTTTGTCGCCAGACTGCGCCATGTCCCATGTTGACTATGAGGGTCGCCACCAATGGATGGAACATGTTCTGGAACACCACTGGAAGAGGTGGCAATGTCTTCATTGCTCTCATGAGTCGGACTCAGCCATTGGGCTTCGAA